GTTCTTCTCTGGGATTACTCGCTTTTTTCCATGCCCAAGAAACCCGTGAAAGTTAGAAGAAACCTTTGGCGCGGGGATTTCGACCAAATGAGAGCTGAAATTTCACGCATTGAGTGGAAGTCCATATTTGTTGGGAGCATACTCGAAGACTGGCAACGGTTCCGAGAAATTCTGCACGAGCTGATCGTAAACCACTGTCCGCTTTCACGGAAGAGGTTAACTAACAGACCTCGATGGCTTACGCAAGACTTGAAGAATGAAGTGAATAAAAAACCGAAGGCTGTGGAAAAAATCGCTTTCTGACAGGAGCCCCACATCTATATGCGCGTACCAAATTCAAAGAAATCGAGTCAAGGGCCTTATCCTCAAAACTAGAAGGGAATTCGAACGGGATCTGCTTAACCGTGCCGCGGAGAACCCTAAATTATTCTACGGTTACATAAGGCAGTGCACGCGAAACAAGGACCCAATACCCCTGCTAAGGACTGCTGAAGGCGAACATCTCACTGACGAGAGGGCGAAAGCTGATCACCTTTGAGAATTTTCTCGGTCTGTTTTTAGTAGCGAAACAGGATTCAACCCTTCGGCCCCTCAGTCCTTCGAAGACATCCCAATTATATAGACCGTTCAGTTCACTGAGGGTATGGTTCTGACGGAGTTGCTGAGGCTAAAGAAATCCAAATCACCAGGTCCCGATGAGATTTCGGCGACGATTTTGAAGGAACTCGCCGGTGAGTTGTCTAAGCCACTCTCCATGCTTTTCCATACATCCTTCGAGACCGGATATCTGCCACCCGACTGGAAGTCGGCGTGGATTACGCCGCTGTACAAGGGCGGAAGTCGGGTCTCTGCGAACAATTACAGACCTGTCAGCCTCACCTCCACTTGCTGTAAGATTATGTAGAAGATAATAAAGCAACAATTAATGCAATTCCTTGAACAAAACCATCTGCTTTCCGATTCCCAGCATGGATTCCGCGAAAGCAGTTCCTGTGTGACAAACCTGCTCTACTGTCTTGAGCACTGGACTAGGGCTGTTGATAGAGGAGATATGGTGCATGTCATCAATATCGACTTTAAAAAGGCCTTCGATAGTGTGCCTCACCACCGCCTTCTATATAAACTTAGCCGTGCAGGAGTGCGAGGTAAGCTTCTGATGTGGATTCGGAGCTTTATACTCTGCCGCTCTCAAGCCGTCCACGTCAGTGACCAGCAATCTGCCGAGGTTGCCGTTAGGAGTGGTGTTCCCCAAGGCTCTGTTCTTGGTCCTACACTGTTCCTCGTATACGTCAATGACTGCGCAAACGAACTGAATTGCGATGTCGCAATGTTTGCCGATGACATAACGATCTGGAGTGCATACGAAGCGAAGTTGACGAGGCGCGATTGCAGACAAGTCTGGACCTCCTCGAGCAATGGTCGAAAGACTGGCTTCTACCGTTCAACGTAAACAAGTGTAAATTCCTACGCGTCGGCAGAACCAGTTCTCCTAACCGCACGGTCTACCGTCTGACTGGCAAACCACTGCAAGAAGTCGGCGCTCAGAAGGACCTTGGTGTATGGATCACAACCTCGCTTAAGCCTTCGCTGCAATGTTCAAAGATGGCCAAGTCGGCGATGTCCATTCTAAACCTCGTCAAACGGGCGTTCTCCTCCTTTGATGAAGACTGTTTCGCCAAGGTCTTTCAAACCTTCGTGTGACCGCATCTGGAGTTTGCTATCCAAGCATGGCGACCCTGGACCGCAAAAGACTTTGGCATACTTGAAAAAGTTCAACGGCGAGCAACGAAACTTGTATCTGGGCAGTGGTCACTACCCTACGAAACACGACTAGCTAATCTTGACCTCTTTCCTTTGGGTTACAGACAGCTACGTGGGGACCTGATACAAGCTTCCCGCATCGTGCGCAATCAGAGCTGCTGCCTCGCATCAGGAGACTTTTTCGAGTTGGCGACTACCACTAACCTGAGAGGCCATCCACTCAAACTGCGTGTGACTGGTTTCCCGGCTAGACACACGAAAGTTCTTCTTCTCCAACAGAGTGGTTGCAGCTTGGAATGTCTTGCCTGGGGATGTTGTTATGTCGGGATCCGTAGATACTTTTAAACGGAGGCTAGATCAACATTGGAGCGCGCACCACAATAACGCCGGTCTACCGCCACCTTGATAGTCAACATTGTCAATTTAGTGTTATGGCGATGCTACTAGCAACATTTAAGTAACATGTGTTTATGTAATTTAGTAACTTGGACCACGTCGCTCACCGCTGCTCGCATTCACCACGATGCCTGTAGACTAAACAATTTTACTTATTTTCCCGTATCTTAAGTGTGCTTCAACTGTCCGCTGTACATGATCAACAAAGCAAGTTAATGTGCCTCTAAATTCTGTTAACGCATGACATTCCATTTCCTCCATATATATCCTCTGCATGTAACCAATAGGGACTTCAAAGGTACACACCTACTTTCCCTGAAATATACTGATACTGATACTGAACTCGCACTGAATGCTCGGTAGACTGTCTGCTGGGTCACTGCTGGCTGTGGTACCACTTCTCTGGTGGTTGAGCACGCTTAGATCACCAACTCGCTCTGAATGCCTGCTAGACTGTCTTTTGAGTCACTGCTGGCTGTGGTACCACTGGTGATGGTTGAACACGTTCATCTGACCAACCCGCATTGAATGCTTGATAGACTGACTGTTGGGTCACCGATGGCTGTGGTAACACTGGCGGGTAGTTGAAAACGCTCATCTCACCAACTCGCTCTGAAAGCTTGCTAGACTGTCTGTTGGGTCACTGCTGGCTGTGGTACCATTTGTCTGATGGATGAGCGCGCCCAGTCCACCAACTCGGGCAGAATGCATGCTGGGTTGTGTGTGGTGTCACGGAGAACAATGGTACCTGTGCTCGGTTGTTTAATCAAACTCACCTCACTTACACACGTAGAACGCCCGCTTGGCTCTTTTCCGTGTCACAGATGCCAGTCGTGCCATTTGTCTTGTGGTTTAGCCTGTTGGACTCTCAATCACATTTAGAATGCCAGAACACTCCGAGAATGCCTGCTGTGAGGACTACTATGTTACAGCAGCCGTTATTGAGATTGATCGCGATGTTAAACTCGTTCTGCTTGCGAAAACACCCGGAATGCCTACTTTTCTTGTAGCTGTATCACAGATGCCAGTGGTGCCACATTTCGCGGATTGAGCCACTGTCTCACGAACACACACATAAGTCCTGCTGTGCTGATTACAGATCAAAAGAAGCCGGTAGCATCATTTATGGGTATTGAGCACTCAAAGCTCCCTAGCACATACAGAATTCCTAATATTTGCTTCTTGTGTCAGTATTGATATTGATGGTTTTCTGTTATTATTCTTCTTAAGTCTGCTGACGAACTTTTATTGTAATTTCTGCTTTGACTATTGTTATTTGTCCTGCAATGTCGCTCTGTTTTCATTTTCAAATTTCTTTTCTATTTTGTTTGCTTTTGTTTGAATCGCCTATTCGTGGCCTTTAGTATTTTTGTTTGCTTGCATTTTCGTCTTTGCGGGTTACTTGAAGGTCACGCCATCCTAGGAACCATCCGCATGTTGTTTATGTAGCCAATCGCGTGGAAACCTTCACGACGGTGGCTGCGTGCCCCCAGCGCCCAACGGCGAGGGACGCCCGCTCGCGCCAGCGCCCTTCTCTCACCAGAAACTCGCCAACACGCCGCTCACCCAATCCTCCTCCAACAACGAAAATGCTCTCTTCCGTTTGGTGGTGGAAAAAAAAGGAATGCATAAAGTAGCCAGCTGAAAGGGGTTGAGAGATGTGCATTCTTTAAAAAGCAAGAAAAGACACCTTAACGAGCGCTAAATCCACCCCGTGGCGACAGAAAATGCTGACAGGTAGGAGGCCTGCACCCGGAGGCATTAGACTTCAGTCAAACAACTGTCCGGCAACTCACCATCAACCGCACTGTAGGAGGCTCCCTGGCCAGCTTCCATGTCAGCAACACGTTCTGCCTGATGCAGATGCGGATTCCAACGCAGGACAGACCACCTGTTCTGCCTGTCCTTTCCAAAGAGGAACATTGCCTGATCTTCGTCTGCTCCAAAGAATGCTTGGCGAACACGAGGCCTGATGTTGAAAGGACAGGACCGCTTCTCCGTGCCTGAGGCGGCAATCCAATTTAAGATCTGAAACAGAAGCCGAGTTTTAGAGAAAAAAATAACAGGGCTGCAATGCCGTGTACGTACAGACACACGAGACTTTTCTCAAATGTCGGATAATTCTGCAGCAGACGATTGCGATATTCCACGGTCGTCTGGTGCCACTGCACCTCCTTTAGCATTGCTGGGGCATGCAATTGTAGCCTCTCGTCATCATCCGCCAGGCAATAATCTGCTCTTCAGACGACACAGACAAATCTTCACTTTGAAGCACAGTGAGTGGAGTTTGAGCAGGTAGGCGGACAAAGAGGTCGCTTGGCACAAAGTCTTCAAAGTGCGCCTTCATCAGTCCGAGGCACTTCTCCGTAAGTGCTTTAACATTCAACGACCTCGCAAAGTCCAAGATATCGGACAGATTTTCTAAAGTGAGGCTTCAGAACAGACAGTTAGACAGGAAATGCGCGTACCGCCTGGCCATGAATGCCACTCCCCAGTCCACCAGGTGAGGCGACTCCAGCACTCTTGCAAGCGTCACCAGGCCTTTCGCATTGTCTTCTCTGATCTCCACTCGGCCCGCGTAGACATACTGCAAGAGCGTAGTTGCGGGACTAGAAAGTGCAGAAGCCGTAAACAAAATCACCGAATAGACGATAATTTTACCTCAGTGGCATTCTCGGCCATCGTAGAACGCAATTCGTCTCCCCGAGGGGGCCACTGACAGTGGCTCGCAAAGAAGGAATGCGAGCCGCCAATATGATGCGATTAGCGTGGAGCAAACGGTTTCCACCGCTGCTGCCGACGTAGAGGAGACGCTGATTGGCGTTTTCGGTGGATCGGTGAGTGGGATTATCGTGAAACCGATATCCTCCTGTGAGGTCTATGACGTGAGGCAGGACAGGTGAGTGCAGACGCCCCGTCTTGACGCACTTTTAGTAATTTTTTTTCGCCAAAAAATGTTTATCCCCTCATCTCCTCACCCGCCTGTTTGCCCGAACAGATGGCACAAACTGCCCGATCTGCCGGAGGCGAGGGTCCGCCCAGCTGCTGCCTGTCTGCCCGGGGACAGTCAGGTTTTCGTATTTGGCGTTTGGAATCCACGCGACACCCGGCTTGCCGCCGGTCTGCAGTCGGGAGACAGTCGGGCTTGGAATAACTTCTCCGTGGTCTTCTGCGGTTTGGACAAACGTCGCACCGCGCTTGCCTCTGTGGTCTTCTGCCATCTGCGAGCAGACTGGCGTCGGCGGCGGCAGGAGGCGACCTCAGCGGGCAGTGCAGTGGCACCAGACGACCGGGGAATGTCGCGATCGTCTGGTGCAGAATTATCCGGCATTCAGAAGGAGTAATTAATGTAAGTACACGACATTGCAGCCCTGTTATTTCTTTCTCTAAAAGTTGTCTAATGTTTCAGATCTCGAATTGGATTGGCGCCGCAGACAAGGAGAAGTGGCCCTGTCCCTTCAACATTAGGCCTCGTGTTCGCCAGACATTCTCTGGAGCACACAGAGATCCGACGATCTTCCTCTTTGGGAAGGACAGGCCGAACAGGTGGTCTGTCCTGCGTTGGAATCCGCGTCTGCAGCAGGCAGAACGCGTTGCTGACATGGAAGCAGGCCGGACGGGCGCCTTCTACAGTGTGGTGAGTGGTGAGTTGCCGGACAGTTGTTTGACTGAAGTCTACTGCCTCTGGGTGCAGGCGTCCTACCTGTCAGCATTTTTTGTCGCCACGGGGTGGATTTAGCGCTCGTTAAGGTGTCTTTTTGCTTTTTAAAGAACGCACATCTCTTAACCCCTTTTCAGCTGGCTACTTTATGCATTCCTTTTTTTCGCACCACCAAACGGAAGAGAACATTTTCGTTGTCGGAGGAGAATGGGGAGAGCGGCGTGTTGGCGAGTTTCTGGTGAGAGAAGGGCGCTGGCGCGAGCGAGCGTCCCTCGCCGTTGGACGCTGGGGGCACGCAGCCGCCGTCGTGAAAGTTCCCACCGCTGCCGCCGAAGGAGAGGAGACGCTGATTGGCGTTTTCGGTGGATCAAAGGGTGGGATTCTCGTGAACCCAATTGTGAAACCAATGTCCTCATGTAAGGTCTATGACGTCAGGCAGGACAGGTGAGTGCAGACTCCCCGTCCTGACGCCCATTTATTAATTTTTTTTCGCCAAAAAATATTTCTCTCCATATCTCCTCACTCGCCTGTTTGCCCGAACAGATGGCACGAACTGCCCGATCTGCCGAAGGCGAGGGCCCGCCCAGCTGCTGCCTGTCTGCCCGGCGACAGTCGGGATTTCGTTTTTGGCGGTCGGCACGCACGCGGCACCCGGCCTGCCTCCGTGGTCTTCTGCCATCTGCGAGCAGACTGGCATCGGCGGCGGGAGACGACTTCAGCGGACTTTTGGGAGTCGGCTGCACCCATGAGAACTGCGCGATGGGGGCTCGCAGCGACAGCCTTTCGGGGAACAATTCTGGTCGCCGGTGGAGCGGATGGCCGAGATCTCAACACTGTGGAGATGTTTACGCCGCCAGACGCCCGCAGCCCCCTCGGCCAGTGGACAGAACTGGCCCACATGCAGGAGCCTCGCTGCCGGTTCACTCTTCTCACCTCCGCCAACGCCGTCTTTGCTCTTGGCAACGGTAATACAACACACCATTAAATGCATTCCTTCTCTTCCTCCTTTTTGTTTTTCTTCCCTTTTTTCTTCTAAATGCGCACTATGCACCAGCATTGTGTGTGTGATATGTCCACCGAGTTTTGCTTTGAGACTGAATGGAGCGACCTCACTGACGGTTGTATTATTGTGGTGTCAGGATAATTTACCTTTATATGGAATTTTTGTCTCTAGTAAACAGTTTTGAATGCATGAAATTCATCATATCCCACCACAGTATGTTTTTAAATCTTGGCCTCAGCTATAAAGTGACTCCACCGTAAGCCGGTGAAAGACGTTGCCTTTGCAGGAATTTTAAGGAATAATCCGTAGAATATCAAACAACTTATGCAGTGCTGACAAAAACTCTATGTACAATATTCCATTTGACTTATTCACCTTCCTTAGGTAGAGGACTGAAGACTGGGAAAGACGTTAACTTGACATGTTTTTTTCCCTAAATGGCCACTCTGCAGCACTTATGTGAATACTGCCTATGCCTCTTTGTTTCCTTCTTTCTCTTTTGTGGAATCTTCTTTTTCGTAACCGACCTTCATTAAAATATTTTTGAATTTGTAGGCACATCCGGCGAGCCAGGCAACACGGTAGAGGCCTTCGCAGCACCGGATGGTTCAGCCAACCCCGACAATAACTTGACTGCTTGGGTCTGGTCGTCCCAGCGCCCAGGGGAAATGCTCAACAGGATTCACGGAGCAGCAAGCATTCGCTTGTAAACGTCAGCCATCTTCCTGAATTTTTAAAAGAAATCAACGATTTGCAAGTAAATCTGTGTTGCAGTTCTTACTTTAAAAGATGTGCGGTGCTCACACGGGGTCGGCCACTTTAGTACGAGATTTGTTTTCCGGGTGAATGAAATGACTTCTTACGACACTGCGTGGGGTAGTTGCTATTTGACAGGCGCAGGTATTCATCCGTCAATGTAATGCGCGGCTTTGGTGAAGTCACAAATCGAACGGTGTGGGCTTTGGTACGAACGCCAAGTAGGCTACGGATTGGGAACATCTATTTGTAGGAAATTCTCGTCCGTCCAGAATTAGAAACGTGTTGGACACAGTGACACCCACCAAGTGGTTTCAAGTATGAAAATTGGATTGCCAGTACGAGAACGATGTACGTCAAAGGTGTCGGTTATATGCAGCATCCGAAAACGCAGACAACAGCAGATTAAGACTACGGTTATAGATGAGTGCGTAGGTTGTATTTACTAAGTGACCGCATTGGTCGTAAAAGCGTCGTGAATTCCTAATCATGTTCGAACTCAGCCGCAATTGCCTTGCAAAGCCCGAAAGTAAACAAAGCTCAGATCTACGGAAAAAGGGGCGCAAGCGAGTGAGTTGCCGGTGACTGGCACTTTTCAATGAACTCGTCATAGTTGTTACATATTTGGCATTACACTAGAAAATGTCCCCCGCAAGTGTGACTGGACAAGGGAAGACTTAAAGCTTCCCACTTCTACGATCGTCAACAAAACCGTTTGCCCCCATCGTTTTCGGTGCGCATGTCACGAGTGACTGCCTTCGGCTTACGAAACCGTGATGTCCATCGATGTTTTCTGTTCACCGATTAGCCGCAGATGGACGAATTTGAAGCAAATGAGATTCGATCGATGATTGCGCGCCGATAGTACTAGTTGTAACTACCTGCAATGCTGCCTGTACACTCTGGATGAGTCAGTCCTCGCTTTCAGCCTTATCTTGGATATTCCTAGGCAGTTCAACACGAGGCAGCCAAAGTCGTCTACCAACGGCCTATCATTTACTTTTTACATGACTTCATAAACCTGTCAGTTGGACACACTTCTCGATATTGTGAGAAAAACTAATTGGTGCACTCGTCCGCCAAGAAGAGAGCGACTTTCAGCTGTTAATTCGAAATAGTCTTGCGAACTGGAGTACATTTGATGACACAGTAATCCTTTAAACATAATGCCATCCGTCCGCGCGGTGCTATCCAACTGAGTGGGAAGATAGATTTAGATCTCTCATTCAGCTGACAGTTCCTCCTCTAGGCCTCACCGACTCACAGCATATCCGACCAGAACAAGTGTATCATGGCATTCCGGTCATTCAAAAACCCGATTAAATCGCGGTTTACTGTGCACTATTTGCGCCAGAATCATCTTGACGGATGGATTATCTTGTAGTTACTAGATTCAAGGTGTACCTCTCGGTGCACTCTCCTGGCACATTAACTTGGGGCTGCATGTTTTACTTGTAGCGAGGAACGTTCGTCGTGTAATGGTACAATAAAGACTGAAGTTGACGCTTCTGCGTTATTAGCCATCATTCTTGTCCTTTTATGTAATGATATTCTGACTATGTTACACAGCGCTGTGCGGCTGCTGCTTGCATTCATGGCACCCTAAACGCTGCGCACAACCTCTCGCACAGGGATCTCGCGGACAGACTAACTTATTCACTGACGAAGAAATAGTCACTTACATCTTAGTTGTCCCAGTTTAAATTCTAGGGCTGATTTGTGATATTGCTGTTGGTGCTATGCGGCGCATTTTAAGATGAGACTTCGCGCCGTGCCAGCCGCCCCTTCGAACGTCATCCCCAGTCGGCTTGGCCCGAACCTGTTAATGTCGAGGAAAGAGAGGAGGGTTTGTTCAAATCGGAGCCTCCTCACAAACGGCAAAATGCGCTTAAAACGGTTGCGGCGCACCGCCAGTTGCTTTTTAGGAGGTTGCCAAATGATGAGATAACCCCGCCCAAATCAGAAGTGAGCGTCAGAGGGCAATGGTTCCTTCACAATGTGATCTTTATAGCATGTTTAGGTAGTAAGAAGTTGAGTCTCTATGTAGAAAATTAGCTCACGTGATGCAAAATGTCGGCGCGTGAGAAGATTCATCGGTCACAACGTCCGCACCAAAACCATGTTTTGTTCTGGGACATGTGAGTGTGGTAGCCTGTCCGAAACACGCCCTCCTTCTCTCCTGGCTCTCAAGTAACACTATCTGCACAGGCCAGTCAGTGGACTTGAATTGCTCATCCCCAGCTTGGCAGGAGATAAGCACCAACTACCTGGGCATGTATCCTCTGCCTGACATCCAGACCGATGCCCCGTTTATGGATTGGGTGAGGAATATATCTGACCAGGATTCCGTCGGCAATTTGTCATCTGAAGTTCGCTTTCCGTGAGTCCTTTCCAGCTGTTTATCTACCGACTTCGGGTTTTTTCCCTCCGTGCAAAGGTGTTGCGCCTGAATGATAAGATCTTATCATTCAGCTGACAGTTGCTCCTCTAGGCCTCACCGACTCACAGCATATCCGACCAGAACAAGTATACCATGGCACTCCGGTCATTCAAAAACCCGATTAAATCGCGGTTTAATGTGCACTGTTTGCACCGGAATCATCTTGGCGGATGAATTATCTTGTAGTTACTAGATTCATGGTGTACCTCTCGGTGCATTCTCCTGGCACATTAACTTGGGGCTGCATGTTTTACTTGTAGCGAGGAACGTTCGTCGTGTAATGGTGCTATTACCTATAATCTGCTCATAGATAATTACATACGTCTGGTTTTGTATCACGCACCCGTCTAAAGCATGCTTCGACTTGGTTTAAACTGGTTACGGTTACCATAGAATTTACGGTTGGGATGAATTCTAGGTCAGAGACTGTGGGGTGGCGTAAAGTTAGGGTCGAGATTAGATTTGGGCTCTTTTTACGAACTCAGTGCCTAGCCACACCCGAAGATTTGACTACCTCTTGGTGCACTGACGCCATGCGCTGTTGTCTAATGCTCTGGTAGTTGAAGCTGACGCATTCTGCGACGGAAGGGAATCTGTAGTTCGACGGTCTGGCCTGAAAAGGGATATTTTGCTAGTTAGCGAGAAGAGAGAAGTTCATTCGACTCATAGCGCCACCTTCAACTACATTATGAAAACCCTACTGACGACTACGGTTCCTCCTTATGCGGGAAACATGCCTAAACGAGATCTGAACCTTGAAATGGGCACCCTCTGAGAGCTGAGGGTTAGATGCTTGTTGGTAGATTTAAGACAGCAATTGAGCATCTTACGGGAGGCAGCTTTGACATTATGGTCATGTCTTCGCTCTAACAGTAAGGCAACGATCACATTTAAGGTTTTAGTTACGGTTAGTTGTTCTTCAACTATCAAGTAGGTTTTGTGGTTGTTGTCAAGGCCATGGTTACGTATTCCGAAGCTATGAGGCTGGAGATAGTGGGTAGAGCCCTACCGATTTCCAGATGCGATAAACTGATTCTTGCCACGAGACCGAGGTTTACCATTGGGGTTGGGGCTTGCTCCTGCTTTTGCCTGCTTTGGTCAGTGTTATAGCAAGGTACAACGGGACTGTACCTGACCGCACTTCCACCATACGTTACTATTAGCCATCCAAAGCGACAGGACAACGGGCCCGTGGCTTAATTGGTAGGGCGTTGGACTTCATAACGCTCGATTGATTAAGAAACGCGGGTTCGAACTCAAGTGATGCGAACTCCGGGCTTGGGTAAGGCTGACGGACGACGGCTTATAAGCCAGAAATGGCCATCCCAGTCTCTCTCGTCGTTATCGGTAGTCTCCTATCAGTATATATTCCTAGTCGTTATGTGAGTGTCTATAAGATCTCTGCATTGAGCCCAAGGCTCAGCGGAAAGAGCATGTCTTGTAATTCGGTCGATGAAGGCACTTGGTGGGGGATCCACTGATGAGCCGAATGTCTCCGCCGCGGCATACAGCGACAGAACGTGAGCGAAACGCGTGTAGGAGCTTTTGACTAGTACCTGTGCTGTCCATATGGCAACATGGCTGCCCTTGACATTGTATGAACACGAGGTGCTCGTGCAAGGACTGACGCCCTTGGCCGCCCGGCCACGCCGGGACGGGTGAAACAGCACCTTCCACGGCACTCTCACGCAAGTGAGAGGCACGCCGTTCAACCTCCGTTGTGTGAAATTCTGGTCTTGTGTGTATGGGGGCCAGGTCGTGCCGTGGCGCGCGCAGTCATGGTCAGTCGATCATGACAGCCACCGCGCCCATTCCCCACTCCAGTCTGCTGACCGGCTCAGACAGCGGCTGGGGTGTGGGGATGAGAAGGGAGAGTGAGGTCGACGACTCAGCGCACTTTCCTCACTATAAACAATCTGATGCGCTTGACGCTATCACGGTGCGCTAAAAGCCGTGGCTTGGAATGTTGCCAACTGACGGGGTAAATTGGACCTCCTCCTTGACTGGTGGTGGTCTGAGAGTCAGGCTGCAATGGCTCATATTTAATGTGGCCTTTATGGCAGTCCCATCAGATTGTGGGATCAGAGCCAGGCGTTGGCGGCACGCCCAGGTGCGACTTCGGCCGTGCCAGACTCCAGATCTCTGTTGTTGGTTGAAATCCTGGTTATTTGTTGTGTGAACCGGGGGATGTGGTGGAACGCCAAGGTGAGGATCCGTCCGAGCCATCCACATGCGGCCTCCCCCGTCTCCGGTCTTCTTGACTCTGTCTTGGCACCGGGTTTAAGCGGGGGAGGTGAAGAGTGTGTAGGTATGTAGATGCAGCGCATGTCTACCCGCACTATAAACCCCTGTGTAAGTCACCGAACCTGCTCCCACTGCTGCTGCAACTGTGGGGCACACGGTGGACATCATCGAAACCGATGGTCGAACTGTCATGAACACGGTTCAACTATTCACATCGGTTTACCTTGGGACTGATGTTTTTGATCGCGGTCTGGGCACCTCGCAGTTCCC